GTTGCTTCCTCGATTACAATGGAATTGTATTTTTTTTTACTTTATAATAAGCATTATATTTTGTTATGAAGATTGTGTTTGTGTTTCCTATTAAGTACTTAGAACATTTTAGAGAACTACTACTAGAATTAAGGTCTGTACTGAGCTAAGCAGAAGCACGAAGCTCCGTGTGCAGTTTTTATGTTATTTCATAGAACAGCGCTCTAAGCTTTATGAAATAACACGAAATATCTTGGCGTAAACGAGAAATAGGCGTTATGTTTGGCAGTGCAGTGCATACTTATCATTTCTCTACAGCAGTCTAAACTACGTCATGCCAACAAACAAAAATGATATCACAAGATTAGTGACATACAAAACACATTTGAAAATGGCCAAACTTTAACTTATCACTCCTTTCTATTTAGTCCCGAGTCTATAGTGTCTATAGCATAAAACATATCTATAGACAAGTTATTATAAATATCACTGATACACTACAGTTTAAAGTGGATAGAGGTCAACTATTGAATATCTGACATCACTTATCATATTATTATTACAACAAAACAATTTACATCATTATCCAGGAATGAATTCAAAACATTTGTCATTATAATTCAATACTTCAGACAAGTTTTTACATAATTATTTAACACATCAATGTTTTCTCCAAGTTAAAATATTTCTAGTACCTAACCATTTTATATAATGTTTTGTATCTAAGGCTGAAGAAAACAAAAATAGATAAGGTCATGCTTATCTTCAGTGTCAAATATTATCATGAATACTACTTGATACTGTCAAAGTATCATACTGGTATATTTCGGGTTCTGTAGTCAACAAGGAAACCCTATAGTTTCGCTTGTCTGCAGCTTAGCCCAGAGAGTATTAGTACTAGAAAGATATAATTTGGCTTAGATAAACATACATAGTGAAACATTGCTATTACATTCCCTGTTCAATGAATCACATAAATAATACATGGAGAATTTTTGTAGCGACATTGACAAGTTCATTAATTAAATATGAACTAAATTAGCAGCCACTTTGCAGGCATATTTGTATTGTTGTGGTGGGTTATGGGCCAATCTCCCTATTCAATGATGATGATGAAATATAAATAAAATACTAGTACCAATACGCGGCGTGGGTGTTATGCTAAAAAAGGTATAAAAATTTACAAAATTTAATAAGTTTCCAATGGATACATTCAAAAACATGATAAAATGTTACAGTAAACACAAACAAGAACAAATCAAAATAATTTTGACAATGATAACTCAACCACATTTGTAACAATATTAAGGCTACAATACAAAAACATGTCACAAAAATCTCATTTGCAAAAAAAGTACCCATGTAAAAAATGGAAAACAAATGTTAGGCCGTATACAGAAAGAAAGCCGAAAGCCGATCGGCGCCGATCGGCGCCGATCGGCGCTTATCGGCGCCGATTCTTCCTACATAAAGGAAGCCGATTAAAGCAGATCAAGCAAAATGTCGGACTCATCGGACGATGATTTGGTTTTGTTAGGAAATGTTTATTTAAAAATGCGATAAACAGGTATACATCCTATAAATAGAGAAAGGAAACGTTTCGGAGAATACCATCATTTATTTGTTAAAGAATTGAAATTTGATGATCAAAGATTTTATGCATATGCAAGAATGACTAAAAAAACATTTAATTACATTTTGGATTTAGTGGAAAACCGTTTGATGAAGAATTAGTGTAATTGGCATAAACAACCAATCCTTCCAGAAGAAAGACTTGTTGTCACCATTCGGTAAGTACGAAACAAATAATTTTAGCGCTTAGTTAATAAAAGATAAAGTTATTAGATTTATAAAAAGATTATAACTTAGATTGATTTAATCTAAGGATAATAATTCAAATACAAATTATTTATAATTCGACAATTAGGCGCCGATCAGTACGGCGCCAACGCCCTTCGAGGTATCTATGATGACATTTTATGTCGCACGCGTCACAAATTCTTCGAGTGCATTTATCGTAAACCGGCTGGATATACTAAATAAATATTTCCAACACTCACACCAATTAGCCTAGCCCCAAAGTAAGCACTATCAGGCTTGTGTTACATCGATAAGTATATTTATATAGAAATAAATATTAAACATCCATGACTGGAGTACATATGCTCATATTCATTACATAAACATCTGTCCTCACCGGGATTCGAACCCGGGACCTCTCGAGTCGGCGACACCATGAAACACGGCGTTTAAACCCCGCGCGGACCGTTGGACAGTCGAGATTTCGCAGAGCTCCGTGAAAAAATGCGAAATAAATACTAAAGTGTCATTTTCTCGACAGGTATCTAATAAACGTTTGTTAATTTAACGCATTGGAAGCAAATTTTGTTCTAATACATACTATAAACTGATTTAATAGAAAATATTTGTGATATTGAAATGCATGGTCGGTAATATAGCTGTCTCTTTTCCTCACGGTCCGTATCTGTTACATTGCGAATAGCGCATTCAGAACTGCGCGTAAAATAAAATGAATAAGGTGTATATTCTTCCGCATATAGCAATAAATTCGTAAAATTCTACCTTGCTTGCATTTTGAACTGTCATAACTCTGACGCATACTTTTTAATTAAGACCTTAAAAGTATGCATTAAAGGTGACTTTCAATGATTAAATAATGCCTTATATTGTTTTTCACTACGCGATCAATTTACTCCGTGCTTAGTTCCGTGGATCGTCCAATGTACCTATTAGACAGGTTTCGGCCACGATTTTGTTCGTGAGGTTGTATCTAGGGTATTTAATATCGTTGAAGGGCTCTTAAGACATAGGTAATATTTAAATAAAGAAGTTGTAATACTTAACCGATTTAAATGTTCACTAACTTTATGTAAGTCGACAAACTAAAACAAAATCGATTAATACCTACTCACCGTCTTCATTCATGGCCTCGCTTATTTCTTTCCAACATTTGTCAACCACGTATCTATTACAGTGCCTTTTGTCGGTTTTGTCCCACAGAGGTTGTTTAGTGAATACTAAGGATATCAAAATGTCATTATCCATTTTTCTACTTAAAAAATAATTGCGTGTAGTAATTGACGTACCTGTTGTCGTTGTTTATTAATTTAAAATTGCAGCTGACCAGCGCGAGTCGGCGCCGATCGGCGCCGATCGGCGCTGGTCCATAGAAAAAGGATCAGCGCCGATCGGCTTTCGGCTTTCTTTCTGTATACGGCCTTAACTGTTATTTGGTAAAAGTAGCCAAGATTGCACATTTGAGGTGTAGGCGCTTGATTGTGCCTCTGAGTTTATAATAATATATGAACAGCCACGACTTAGGTATAAATATTGGTTTTCCAGACAAAGTCTCACCCCCCCTTTTCACTACAAGGAAAAATATTTCTTTAGATTTAAGCATCTAGCAGTTAAATGCTTAAGAAATAAAATATACAGTCAAAACTGAATATAACGACATCGTTTATAAGAACTTGTCGGTTATTACGACCAATTGGCAAGGTCCCGACCGAAACTCTATATAAACCCTTAAGTAAAAAAAAACGCCTATAACAACACCGGATATAGCGAAATACCGCTTAAAACGACTTATAGCCAATGAATATTGATAAAGTTCATATTGATATTCATTGGCTATAACTACTAACCATTTTACTTGTTCCACCAAAACAAAATATACTGTAAATACTTCCATTTTTTCATAGTAAACTGATTACTTCTTTTTTCGATATTTTATACGAAAACAAGCAAATATATATACTTTTGTATATTGCATATAACAACTATCAGACATAACGTCAAGGTAAGTTATAAGGTCCCTTCAATGTCGTTATATCCGGTTTCCACTGTACAACCACAATGGATTTTTTTTACTAGTAAAATTTTCTTTGGATGGTTTCTGGTTGTTCAAAGAGGTGACCAAAGCAAGGTCATAGAAAAAAAATATTAACTGATGAGAAAAAAATTTACTACTAAGCAATGTTTTAACAAGCAGAATGACTGGCTTTATGCTGGAAGCTCTACAGAACCTTTCCAATTAGTCAGCAGAGTACAAAGTGGACATTACCTAAGTACAGTGATAGTTTGGTGGAAAGTTAGCTGACAAAGAGTCAATGAGGCATATCTTTGTGAAATGGAGTCAAAGCACTAGCAAAAGTATATCAACATTCAATTCTTGAGAAGGTGGTTATGCCTCTTAACACTATGTGCCATTATCAAGAATGTTCATTTCAACAAGACTTAGCACCAGGTCGAAAATCTCAAATCACAAACATACATTTAAACATTGACGACCTCCGTGGTCGAGTGGTTTGTACGCCGGGTTTCATGGTGTCGCCGACTCGGAGAGGTCCCGGTTCGATTCCCGGTGGGGGCAGATGTTTGTGTGATGAATACGAGCATTTGTATTCCAGTCATGGATGTTTAATATGTATTTCTATATAAATTTACTTATATATGTACGGTATACGTATTCTATCCGTTACCCTTAGCATCCCATAACACAAGCCTTACAGTGCTTACTTTGGGGCTAGGCTAATTGGTGTGAGTGTTGGAAATATTTATTTATTTATTTATTAAATGTTATTATATTAATTTGCCATCTTTAATACATAAAAAAAATATAAACTAGTTGTTGTTAGTTTATTTTTTTTCACGTAACCTTAACTCACCTTAATCTGACACACCCAAGTTTTTCTAACAATCACTTTACTTAACTAATTTGATTTTCTTCCCTAGATGTCCCTACATAAAAGGCTCATGTATAGTGATCCATATGTTAATTTTACACTCATAAATTCCAAAATCTCTGCTTAGGCACCCATAATAATGTTTCAATGGTTGTCTTGTTCTGCATGTGGCCAATTGGCATTGGGTAATTTATTCATCAAATAAATTGAAAAGAAACACCATATAACCATGTGAAGTGCCCAAGGTCAGAAATATATAAATACATAAATATTTTTACATAAAAAAAATGTGATGACATAAAAGTTAATACATACCTCAGCACCAAGCTCGATTAAGGTTTCTATGAGAACAGCAGTCTGTACGGTCATATGTAGACTGCCAGCGATCCTGGCACCTTTGAGGATTTTACTTGGGGCATATTTTCGACGGCATGCCATTAAGCCAGGCATTTCCTTTTCTGCTAGCATAATTTCATTTCTTCCCAACTCTGCTAATTTCTCATTAGCTGAAACACAAGTAGATAAGTAAGAAGAAGATAGGCACACAATAAAATATATATTAACATTTCTTAAGTATGGATTAAGGTTATCAAACAAGATAATAATCATAATAATCTTAACACTATCTAAAATTTGTAATATCAATTAGATTGTTGATAATCCTCCATAAAGAATTTGATTTAATAAAGATATACACCATATCATATATTTATGGGGGACACAGAAGCTAGCATTTAAAAAAAAAAGTTTATATAAAGTTGTATTATTTATCATATTAGATTATAAGGGCCTACTTTGGTTCGAGGAATAGTTCTTCGGTAAGAGAAATCGTAATTTATGAAAAAATAAACTTTCCGCCCGTTATCATTTCTAAAATTTAAACAGATGAAAAATACTGAACACGCATGGCTTTTAACCTATATTAACTATCTATGAAATAAATATATTAAATGTGTAAAAATTTGACTACGGGCTCCCTGGTTAAAAATAATAAGTACCTACTTTACGAAAACAAAGTAATTAATTTTAAGCCTGAATTATACAACAACTTACCGATTTTGTATGGTGGTTTCATGGTAATTTCTGGTATCAAATACTCTGGGCCTTCAATAAAAGAATTTATAGAAAATTAGTCTAATTAGGTATAGTTCGAACTAGATGAAAATAATGAATTTATTCCTTGTAACTTACGACAAAACGACCAAACTTCTCCGTGGCTTGAAACCTAAATAAATATTTTATTTTACACTGTGTGAATGAATGAGATGATACTGATCTGACTGAGGGATGGATGAATGGAATGATAGTGATTACTAGGGTTCGAACAATACTTCGATACCGAATATCGATATTTTTTATCGCAATACTAGATACCACAACCAGCTACTCACTCGCCAGCACTCATGCCAATCCCCTAGGCATGCGTCCGATATATCAAAACGAATCCAAGATCCGATTTCAAACACAAATCGATACCGAACGATTTCTCAACAAGAAAATCCGATTTCAGAAATCTAACCGAACCAAAACGCTAGCGATCTAATACCACCATAAGTATCCAAATGTAAATCGGATTCGAAATTCGTGCTTTCGTTTTCGGAAGTCCGATTTCGTGCTCGGAAGTCCGATTTCGGTTTGCTGTTTACGGAAATCTATTGTTCTTCTCTAAGGCGGGATTATTTATTACTGAAAAAGATGTCGTCTAAAAACATCAAAAGTCGAGCAACTGACATTTTTTGAACGCTAACCTGAAGTAATTAGGTTTGATTTTGTAAATGGTTTGAAAAATAATAAAAACAAAAAAAAATACTAAAAAAATATGTAAAAAGAAATCTTGTATATAAGCCGATTTTTAAATGCGCCGCAAAAGTTTTACTTTTAACCACCTTTTAACCGTAAAGATAACTTTTGCTGCTAGTCCTAAGCCACAGAATATATACTCTTGCCTAAGCCTAGATTTAAAGCATAAAGGAAAATCGCGCAAATCTACGAGTATCCTTGCTTCGTACAATTAGTTGTTTGTGATTGTCGTTAGCTAATAAAACCAAATCATAACACAAACTAGTTAATTGGCTAAGTTCGGCACATCTGAAATCGGATATCTAAAAACGGATTTTAAAATCGATTTTGAAATCTGAAATCCGATAAATATCCGTTTGCGTTCAAAACCAAAAACGCCCATGTCTACAATCCCCTGTATCTAGTACTTTGTCTTCACACATTTATACGCATTGCATGCAACCGTAACTATTTATTTTATGATGAAATTCGTAAAGCAACACTCGGAAGAAAGGGGGCGTTCAAGTTTTATGTAACGCAAATTTTGAAGATTTTTAACCCCTCTCCCCCCCAGATTGCGTTACGTTATACTTGAACGCCCTCTTTCTCATAATATATAGAATCGCATTTCGCGAGTGGGATCCGCGCGTGAAAATTTTACAGAATAGCCCCGCTGAACTGCATTTTGAAATACAAAAAGTTTCATAAATAAACTTTATAAATAGTCTTTTTTATTTAAATAAAAAACAATGTTACGTAACCCCTCCCGCCCCTATAACGCATCCTAACATTTTACAAGACCCCCCTCCCCCCCAAATTGCGTTACATAATACTTGAACGCCCCCAAAAGCACTATTCGTTATTTCATTTGTCATCAATTCATTCAATCACTCCATTCAATCAGGGCCGAACTGTGAGTTTCGGGGGCCCTAGGCTGGGCGCGCGGCGTGTGTGGGACTCCCCGGCGCGGAAGGACGCCGGTCCTACCCACTAAAAATAACCGGTACCCTCCTACGCCCCCATATGGGCGTCTCAGGATCGGCGCACCTTAGTGTGCGCTACTTCACTGGGACGCCCCCGGGGCTTAAGGGCCCACCTAAATAGAAAAGATGCAATATTTTTATTATTGTTTTCATTTTAAAGAATTCCATGTAGAATAAACCACAGATATATTAAAAAATTAAAACATTGTAATTTATCGGAAAAAATGCGGTTTTAAATTGTCAGTTTAAATTTTCGCGCGAAAACGGACCTATGGTTCCGATGACGTCACTCCTGTCTGTCACTGGTCGTACTTGTTCGTCGCTGGCTTTCAATTTTCATACTTTTGCATATTTTTGGACTTTCGAGATATTTTTTGTAAAAATTTAAAATGGACTATCCATCAACATCAGGTGATCATAACAATACCACTAATATTCCGAAAAAAAGCCGTGTTGACTCATGTTTTGTGCCAATATGTCCATTTACTTCAACAAAGTATCCAAATAAATTGTTTTTGACTTTTGATTGAATTAATTTAATTGACCCAAAATTGAGAAAAAAGTGGTTTCAAGCTGCGAAAAGAAATGACAATTATTCTCCAAAGACCATTATTCGATGCTGTGAAGATCACTTTGACGTAAGTCGGCGAATATATTTGTTATATGCTTAATGAATCTGTCTGTACGTAAAAACGCGTTAGTAACCTACCTAATACTTACAAAACCTGCCTATAACATATTTTAAATTTTATAGTTGGAGAACGACGTCAAAAATTTAATAAAGTTTAAAATGTGTGGCACAATCTTCACATTGACAGGACTGAACCAATTTTTGCGTTTCATTTAAAAAAACTGTAACACGATAACTTTCTTTACGTACTTTATGCTCCGGAGTAACTCGACTTTTTACTGTACATAATTCTCCATCTCTTTTAATTTGGATAAAGCCGATTGCGTTTACGCCGTAAGATTCTCTTGTTGAGCTGAAATAACTGCTATGTGTAGAAGCCGCTGAATAAAATACAAAGTTTAACAACTATGATTTATACCTACCGTAGTAATTTAGTCCCTTTCATTTCTACACTTGAAAACTCTGCACATTGGACAAAAAAGTTACAACTATGTCAACACTAACTCTTGGTAATTTGATAAACCCAACTTCCATTTTTATTAAAAAACGCAATTAATATTCCCATAAAATAATATTCACTTTTATAACCATAATCTCAAATAAGTTGTCATAACAGGAGTGACGTCACTAAACGCTGATTGGTGTTTTAAAATAAGTTTTTTCCAAGTCATTTTTTATTCGTAATTATTGTTAAAAAACAACATTATGTAAAATAAAAACGTTGCAGTGGCCTTTCTTTTATATTTTTTTAACATTTTAATCATAAAATTTTCATAAATATTATATTTGCATCTTCCCTATTCTCAAAGTATAGAAAATGAGACTGTAAATATTATGCCTTAGTGTTATACAACCTTAAATAAATTGACAAATTATAACCTTCATGCACTTCTCTTTAGCAAATTCTTTAATTTGCTTCTCACATTCTAGGTTCTTAGTTAAATCAACATTTATGGACAAAACGGATAAATGGTTAAGTCGTAAGTTTGACATCGTTGTTCTGTATTTATTCTGTTTATATGACATCCTGGAAAAGTAGATTGTGATTGACAAGGTTAATATATTTTTAACATTGTATAGCAATTCGGGAATATGTCAACATGCTTCTTTTTATAAATAATCGTAAAAATGTCGCAAGACGAGTAGGATTCTGTCGACTGAAGCAAATAAGTTTTTAATTGGATGCATTCTTTGACCAAATATGTATCCACATCATCGCGATAATAATCGTATATAACCGTCAATAACCGTACGGGCGCTTTCGTTTGATAGAAATTCATACCGGGAGTTCAGGGTTCCTAACGATTCGCTACATTCCTCCAAAACAAAAGTCTATTTCTTCCTATCCTACTATAAATAAATAAAAATGATAAATAATGGTACTTATAAATAATTCTAGCAAGATAGAAAGAGACAGAGTCTGGGAGGAAAACAGCGGAGCACGATTGAGATGAATGTGTAATGGAAGCGGAACATTTTAACTGCCACTTCGAAATACCAACACCTGAAAGTAGACTTGAATTTAATGAATTGGATTAATTAATCGCAGGATTCGCAGGGCTGCAAACTATACGATCTGTTTAATTTAATAAAATTATGGATTCTTTCGTATTATCGTCTATTTTTCACTAAACTTGACTTAGCTGGGGGACCCTTGAATCCACGGGGCCCTGGGCTGAAGCCCAATAATCCATATGGTGGATCTGGCCCTGCATTCAATTCAATTCAATTTTTTGAGTTTCAACCTGGGCTGCGTTCCAAACTTACGCTGTAGGTGCAATAAATGAAGTCTTTCCGAGTCTTTACAAAGAATTTAGGCGTTACGCTTTTGTGGTTACCATCTCTGTGCCAGTCAAAAGGCTGTTTTCGAAAGCACGGGCTATAACGACTACAACAAGTAATCGTTTGAAGCCCTAGCGGTTAAACGAGTTGCCGTTTTTAAGCAGACGCCCTGTAGTCACAGAACAGTTAGTCTGTTTTTTTTTTTAATTAGTTTTTAAAGTGAAACTTCTTTACACACGCTTGACTTGGCGGGCAAGCTGGCGAATGTGTTGCGCGTTACGAAAAGTGCATTGAATATCTATACTAATAGATACTCAAAGATATGAGTATTCGGTATCGATACCCGTCACGATTCTTTGAACACTAGTGAATAGGGAAGATGATGAATGAGGTGAGAATGACAGAACATGAGACAGTGAAATAGGAGAGCTAGTGAACCCTCCGAGTAACACCTGCTGACGGACTTTATAAAAAGCTTTGGGTATTCGGAGAAAAATAGAAATGAAACTACCCCCTGTTAGGGTTACCATTTAGGAATTTCAAAAATCCTGACATTTCGAAAAAAGTTCGGATTTTTTAGTCACAAAATGGTACCATTGCTCACTTAGTCACAATGGTACCCAAGCAACAAAATTATCCTATAATGCACATTTTATAGTCCTGAAGCACTAATAAAGATCTCTTAGTGCTTCTAGAAATTACTGCCATGCCTTTAAAAGCATGTTTGGAATCTATTTGGCTTTGTAGTACATCTATCCTTGTACATTTATTTATTATCGTTTACCCGTTTTACCAGCTCAGTATAAGCTAAGATGTCCTATAGGGGTACGCTCAAGAATACACAGTTCTGTAAGCTATAATTGTAGTGGACTACAAGGATCTTTATAAATCCAATAAAAATAAAGTACGCATTTAAGAGTATTTATTGGAACTAATCGTACTGGAAACCATTTTCACTTGTTACTTGAATTTATAAAGGTTTTTAGGTTGACATTATGGATCAATAAGGGGTAACTGAGTTTATAAAGGTTTAGTCTAAGAGTAACCGAACTTGGTTCTAATGTAAATATGTCGAGCACTGTTGTAATCATAACACGTTTATAATGATCCTATATAATATAATAACCAATCAAAATAAACTTCGTGAAACCACGTAAAAGAATACTATTGCTTAAATAATGGTCTCAAAAATATATTGTTGGGACCATTTTGGTTTCTTTTATCGTGGTTGTCAATATTTTTGCTTTTTGTCACTATTTTTTAAGAATTTTGTATACAAATCCTTTAAAAATGGATTTAAATAAATGGAAGCGGTTGAAAAAAAGTGGTTCATACAAAAGAATAGTACAAAAAATATATCAACACTTAATTCATGTGTCAGGTCGCAGTTTTACATCAGGCAAGGAAAGTGACGTAAAATTTGGCGAAGGTTCCGCACAAAATTGCCAATGTGAAATTTTCACACATAATGTTGTTATTGATAATTCGACACAGAATAACGCTGATTCAGATTCACAGCAAAAGGAAAATATTCGTGGAGAATCTTTGCAATAAAAGCATATCTGGTATTCAATTTAATAACAAAACTTATTACTCTCTACAAAATTATGGCACGTTTTTCAGTTATTTAATTTACTTCTCCAATAAACAAAACTTATCACTACTTCTCTCATTAACAAAACTTATACACAAAATTGTTGACTTACTTATTACTCTCTACAAAATTATGGCACGTTTTTCAGTTATTTAATTTACTTCTCCAACAAACAAAACTTATCACTACTTCTCTCATTAACAAAACTTAAACACAAAATTATTGACTTACTTATTACTCTCTACAAAATAATGGCACGGTTTTCAGTTACATAATTTACTTCTCCAACTAACAAAATTTATCACTACTTCTCTCATTAACAAAACTTATACACTTTTAAGTACATAAAATTATGGCACGTTTTTCAGTTAAATAATTTACTTTTCCAACTAACAAAACTTATAAATCAGGTATAATGTTTATTTTTACAACAGTTTACTGCTTACTACTTAGTATGTACATACTGTTAATTAATGTTTAGTAAAACAAATAGTAGATATTATGTATTGTATGGATGGAATCATGTATGTAACTACCTATGTAGTAATTAATGACATAAAAGACGTAATAATTTTGACTACGTCAGATTAGGTTTAGCCTTAATTTTAGAAAATTACCAAATTCACATTCGTCACTGGTGAAGTGGTCATAAACTTTTTTTTGAAGTTGAAGAATTTGCAATTTTCACACCAAAATTTATCTTCATTTGATCAATGATCTTATGTGTTCTTCCTCCATTACAAAATGAATTGGTCGTCCTCTAGAATATTTTGAAATTCTATAGCCACAGCCATGACAAGTGAAACAACATGTCTAGTTTTTAAAGCTTGAAAATCCTTTTTAGTCATACAACGGTCGACGTCCATAAACGCTACCATCTTAGATTCAGTGGTTGACACCTAAACATAAAAATACTATGTGAAACTACACAAATAAGTTTTCATTAAATATTCAAGAATTGTTAAAATAGGGAAGATGCATATACATATAATATTTACGAAAATTTTATGATTAAAATGTTAAAAAAATATAAAAGAAATGCCACTGCAACGTTTTTATTTTACATAATGTTGTTTTTTAACAATTATTACGAATTAAAAATACTTAAAACGGAACGTATTTTAAAACACCAATCAGCGTTTAGTGACGTCACTCCTGTTATGACAACTTCTTTGAGGTTATGGTTGTTAGAGTAAATATTATTTTATGGGAATATTTATTGCGTTTTTTTACATTTGATAAAAATGGAAGTTGCGTTTATCAAAGCAGACTCCAGGAATTTACCAAGAGTTAGCGTTGACCTGGTTATAACTTTTTTTGTCCAAAGTGCAGAGTTTTTAAGTGTAGAAAAGAAAGGGACTAAATTACTACGGTATGTAAAAATCGTAGTTGTTAAACTTCGTATTTTATTCAGCGGCTTCTACAAATTTTACGGCGATAATGCAGCTATGTCCAAATTAAAAGAGATGGAAAATTATGTACAGTAAAAGGTCGAGTTCTCCGGAGCATAAAGTACGTAATGAAGGTTATCGTGTTACAGTTATTTTAAATGAAACGCAAAGCTTGGTTCAGTCCTGCCAATGGGTACGGCCAGAGTGCATTCAGATTCAGACTCAGAAAACAAGCGCGAGAAATAAACAGTGTAGTTTAAGCAGGGGGGCCATAGTGGCAGCAGGCAACCTGCTTAAACTACACTGTATATTTTTGTATATACCCAATGTGAAGATTGTGCCACACATTTTAAACTTTATCTAATTTTCGACGTCATTCTCCAACTGTAAAATTAAAAATATGTTATAGACAGGTTTTGTAAGTATTAGGTAGGTTACTAATGCGTTTTTACGTACAAGCAGATTAATTAAGCATATAACAAGTATATTCACCGTCTTACGTCAAAGTGATCTTCTCAGCATCTAATAATGGTCTTTGGAGAATAATTGTCATTTCTCTTCGCAGCTTGAAACCACTTTTTTTTCAGTTTTGGTTCAGAAGTTCCAGTCAAAAACAATTTATTTGGGAACTTTGTTGAAGTAGATTGGCACAAAACATGAGTCAACACGGCTTTTTTTCGGAATATTAGTGGTATTGTTATGATCACATGATGTTGATGGATAGTGTAGTGACGTCATCGCAACCATAGGTTCGTTTTTGCGCGAAAATTTAAATTGTCAATTTATAACCGCATTTTTTCCGATAAATCACAATGTTTTAATATATCTGTGGTTTATTCTACATGGAATTCTTTAAAATGAAAACAAAAATAAAAATATTGCACCTTCCCTATTATGCAATAACCAAAGCTTAGGTATGTTGCGGGGGGGGTAATTGTAAACACCAGCATCATTATTTATATTTGGCTACTTTATTTCCTACTTGGTAATGACATGTATACCTAACGATAATTATAATTTAGGAACATTATTTTTTGGTCATTACAAATGGTCGCTATAAGTTATGTAATATCCCATTGAAAATCAATGGGTTATAGTAATGTTTGTGGAACCCTAATTCTGAACATGGCGTATTACTTGATCTATATTATTTATAATGCAAACTTTTTTGAAACCAAATACGTTTATAATGGCTCTGTAATGAACTTCTGAGAACTAGGTACATA